GGATCAAATCCAAAGACCTTTTAGGTCTATGTGATCCATCTAGAATGCAGATACCCTGGATTAGAGTATGATCTGGTTGGAATGCAGACAGGCCCTTAGTACACACCTTTAATCCCAAACAATGAAGGTAAGGTTAGTTTATAGAAGGAAGTAGCCATGTTTGAAATAGACATCTAATTGAGGGGCAGACAAAGTGATGAATCAGAGAAAGATTTGGCAGAGTAATCAGAGATAGGATATGGTCAACTCACAGGAACAGGACAGGAAAGCAACTACTTAAGGAGTAGTACAGGAAGAGAGAGGAGAGATTTTACTGGGACACTTTTACAAAGACAGGTTGTAGAGAGAACAAGTTAGATACAGATGAAGACAGAATGGGCCAGAGAATGAGAAATGTCATTCTCTGTTCAGCAGGGGCCTGGATATTGGCTGGGGTCCTGGAACTTAGCTTCCAAATAACGGGGTTTCCGTTTCTCTCAGAGTGCTTTAGGGTGAAGACCCAGTGCACTAAGCTAAGGTGTCGAAAAGGTTTTTCACAGAGTTTTACAGTTTGGCCCTTTTAGCATGAGATCACTCATGACAATGGAAGGCCTGAGTTCCAAAGCCTGTGGTGATACCAGAGTGTTACAGCTCTTGGTTAAGCTGCTGCGCTGACCATGGCAGAGGTGCAGGCGAAGGCCTATGCCTGGTGGTCTTGTATCCAAAACAAGCCTAGTGAGGTCCAGGCCCAGCAGGCTGGAGGACTGCTCCAGTGAGACACAACCTGGTGGAGGATAAATGGTGAATCTCAGAAGGTCTTGAAGTGAGAAAGTGTGAGTCTTTATTCATGTGAAATCAAGGGTAATAGAAACACTAGGCAGAGGGTAGGGATTTCGAGGATGAATGTATTTGATTCACTGAGGTTAGGGGTACTTAATGGTCCTATCACAAGAAGGAAAATACAGTATTTAATTATCCTATGAGGATCTCCAAGTACAATTGAAGGTCACTGCTGGACTGAGATCCTTAGCAGGTTGAGTGAGGCGTTTCTAGGAATTGCTAGATGGCTTGCTAGAGTAGTTTCCTTATCAAGGGAAGGGTCTGGCCTGTAATCTGCCCTGAGGGTTATGTGACCTCCATATAAGACCTAGAATCACCCACATCAGGGGAGACTTAAAACCCCACTGAGAAAAGGTTGTCTATCATCATAGACCAAGTGCAAATAATTGGCTCTCTGGAGACAAGGACTTCAATCTTAATCCAGCAGAGGCCCATAGAGGAGCCAGAAGATTAAAACATATTGCTAGAATTAGTTTGAGGCCAGGCTGAGCAATTCAGTCAGAAGCTAAGAGAAGCTAGTTTGAATCAGTCAGCTTGGAGAGGAGTTTGGGCCAGAACAGCTGAGTTGAGCCAGCCAGCGAAAGTTCAGATAGAACTTTGGGAATAGCTCTCATTTCATCCATTCGTCTGAGAAAAACATTTACAGACTTACACTGGTACTGATGGCTTTTATGTTTGAATGCTTGGTCTCCAGTTGGTGGAACTGTTTGGGAATGATGTGTGGGCTCCTTGTTGGAGGAGGTATGTCACTGGGGGCTGGCTTTGAGGTTTCAAAAATCCATACCATTCCCATTTTGATTTTCCCCCTCTCTGCCTTGTGGTTGTTGTCTCAAGGTAAGCACTGTTAATGTCTCCTCCAATACCATATCTTTTTACCTGCCTGCTCCCATGCTCCCTACCACAATAGTCATGGACTCACCCCCTGAAACTACAAGCCTCCAATAAATTGCTTTGGTTGTGGTGTATTTCAGCAATAGAAGTTAAGACACTAGCTATCCCCTGCCCTTTGAAACAGGGTGTTGCTAAGGAGCCCAAACTGGCTTTAAAGACCCAATCCACACTTCATCTTCTCGAGTGCCAGGATTATAAGAATGGATCAAGCATAACCTAAGATTATTGCTGCTGTATACATTCCTTTTTATGTTTATTTTAGGGATGATGTTATTTTTTTTCTTTAAAGAAATTTTGAACATGTTTGGCTTGTGAGAATTAAATCCATAAGTTTAAAATTTTTTGATAAAACATGAGACAGTTTCATTCTTGCTGAGTAATAGACAAGTAAATAAGTGGATGGTGTAAATGATTTTGTTGCTCAACCCTTGTGTTCCAGTATGTTCTCAAATAGCCAGTCAGATCATGTCACTGAATTGAATTCATTTTTTCTAAATGGCTAATTAAAAAAGGTTGTGAGTGAGTATATGTGTGTGATTAAACTTGTGGCTTTAGGCAGGCCAAGTAGGCACCTACCACTAAACCATACCCACAGCCTTTTGCCTTGTAATGGACCTAACAAGTAGCTAACTAAATAAATATACTTTTAAGCAAGTGTACCATGTGTGCTTCAGTGTATACTATTGAATTTTTAAATCATGAAAATATATGAAAAATCAGGAAGCTTAATAGATTATTAAGCAATATTAAGTTATTTTGACTCAATCACTTAAAGATATTCTTATCTTAATGAACCTAATAAGATTCTATATGGAAACTACTTCATCTTTCATAGTCCAGATCAGTGAGGCTCTTCTTAAGTAAAGTTTTCAGTGCCAGCAGTAGGGGAGGAAAACATTAGGGGAACCATAGGTTTGCTTTTCTTATGAGCAGCGTAACTCCTACTGTGCAGACTTCTCACCTCCATCTGAGTTACAGATAGTCACCCTTCACCAGTGGAATGGGGCAGTGGGTTACTGGGAGAATGAGAACAGAGTTCTTCTGTGACTGTCTTTGAAGTATCTTCTTACTGGTCTACTTTTGGTTCATTATATTGTTTTTCTGTGGGCTCAGCTATTGACCAAGGGACATGTTTTATGAAGTCAAATTGTGTATTTTTTCAGGAGTTTGTTACTTTGAGCAAAAGATACTGTTCTAGTTTCTCTTTATATAAATAAAGAACTGTTGGGCTGGAGAGACAGCTCAGCACTTAAGAGCACTGGCTGCTCTTCCCGAGGACCTGAGTTCAATTTCCAGCACCCACACGGTGGCTCACAACCATCTGTAATGAGATCTGATGCCCTCTTCTCGTATGTACCCTATATGCTCACAGAACACTCATAAATAATAAATAATTTGAGATTAAAAAAATAAAAGAACTGTCACAATCAGTAAAATTGCAACAGAAGGTATATGTGCAATTTACAGGTTTCAAATTCACTTTTAGACAATTACAGGTAAGAAAGTAAGTTTATGTTTAATAGAGCAGTTAGGTAGAAAATAAAATGTTTCATAAAATTCCATGCATTCTACCCAAAGTTAGGCTTTGAGTCTCAGTCTCTGCTTCTATACCTCCATCAGTAGAATCTTTCAGAGGCCCTCTGTGGTAGGTTCCTGCCCTGTTACCTGTCTTCTGCTTCCGATGTCTATCGCATTTGTCCTTCTGAATGAGGACTGGTCATCTTAACAAGGCTCCTCCTTCTTGCCTGGCTTCTTTAGGTGTATAGATTTTAGTATGTTTATCCTATATTATATGTCTAATAACCACTTTTGAATGAATATATACTATGTGTGCTTTTCTGTTTCTGGGTTACCTCACTCAAGATGATCTCACCATTTGCCTGAAAATTTAATGATTTCCTTGTTCTTAATAGCTAAGTAGCATTCCATGGTATAAATATACCACAATTTTTGTATCCATTCCTTCATTGAGGGACATCTGAGTTGTTTCCAGGTTCTGGCTATTACGAATAAAGCTGCTACGAACATGATTGAATAAATGTCCTTATTGTATACTTGAGCATATTTTGGATATATGCCTTTTTATAAAAGAAGAGGGAGATAGAAAGATCTGGAGGGGACAGGAGCTCCAAAAGGAGACCAACAGAGAAAACAACAACAAAAACAAACAAAAAAACCCCTGAGGCCCCAACCAAGGACAATGCATATGCATAGAGAGGCCCTAAATCCCTGGCTCAGATGTAGCCTATAGACCCAGTCTCCAAGTGAATTCTCTAGTAAGGGGAGCAGGGGCCTTTTCTGACTTGAACTCAGTGGCAGATTCTCTGATCACTTCCCCCTGGGGGGTGCAGGCTTGCCAGGCCACAGAAGAAGACAATGCAACCAGCCCTGATGAGACCTGGTAGGCTAGGGCTAGAAGATAGGGGAGGAGGACCTCCCCTATCAGTGGACTAGGGAAGGGGCATGGGAGAAGAGGGAGGGAGGGTGGGATTGAGAGAAGAGGGAGGGGGCCACAGCTGGGATACAAACTGAATAAATTTGTAATAAATGATAATAAAAAAGAAAATAAAATGTTTAGCTAAATCAGTTGCATAGTGTCCCAAAGAACATAGGTTTATTTTTCTTTTGAATCACTTCATCAATCAAATTTCTTGCATCATGGTATATGGTAGGTCTGCTTAAATTGTATACAAATTGTAGCTAACTTCTTATCATTTAATTCAATGTGCCCAATGAGTTCAGAATAACTTAGTGTAAAAGACTAATGATGATCTTAATGTATTACATGTACATATAAAAATGAGTAATTCACAGGATACATGACATGCAGTTTACATAACTAAGTGGTCTTTACTTTGAATATGTATGTTTTATATTATCTGTTGATAAATAGAACATGATTCTTTTGATTCTAGATTCCCCAGATAAGCTCCAAATGCTTAATTACTCAAAAGAAATAGTTCTTCATGCCTTAGAGATATTTCCAAGATAGATACGATTCTGAATGTTTGTACTTACATTAGATATAAATAATTAAAAGAAAACTATTTTTCCGACCATATCAATTCAATTGTCCTTGGATTATCACTATTTTATGTCTACTATTGTCTTTTAGGCCATTGATAACTCTGAACCTTAGGCCATTTTAATTGATAATTTTGCTCATTTTTAAATGAAACTTTTTAATAAGAGCTTTCAACTCACTTGTGAGACCTAAGAGAAAACATTGAAAACTAAATTTGTACTATTTGAGTTGTGAACATTTTTAATTGAATTATTTTATGTTTTAGAAAATGGAAGTGTGGTCCAAGTTGGAGAATTGTTGCCCTGCAAGATTTGTGGAAGGACATTCTTTCCTTTAGCACTGGTGAGTAGGCTGATTCTGACCTGTTTGCATTGGAGCCTAGTGGATCTGTGCTTGCCTCATGCTTGAGGAGAGTTGCTGTGGCTGAAAGTTACAGAGGATTTACATAGGGTAATCTTTGAAGATTAGTTTTATCTGGGTATGGCTGAACTCTGAAGTTACGTGATAAATCTTCAGGCCTAGAAATGCTAGGAGTATTAGGAGAGAGAAACACTAAACATAAACCTCAAGAGGCAGAACATCGCATAAATGTGAGTGAAAATGTATTAAAATGTCTATGGTTGGCTGCAAAGTACTGCAGTAGCAGGGATTATTATTTTTTAAATGTGAGGTATTGCTGAGCAGTGAGATGAATAAATAGGGTCACTCATTCTGTTTTCTTTTTATGTTTGAAATCATCCAAAGGAAAGGTTTTGTTGTTGTTTTGTCAGTATAGAAGTACAGCTAGGGGCTTGAGAGATGGCTCAGACATTGAGAGCACTGGCGGCTGTTCCAGGGTCCTGAGTTCAGTTCACAGCATCCACATGGTGGCTCACAACCATCTATAATGAGATCTGCTACCCTCTTCTGGTGTGCAGGTGTACATGCAGGCAGAATACTGTATACATAATAAATAAGGAAATCTTAAAAAAATAGTGCAGCTAAAATGTATTAATTTTATCTGTTTAACATACAGAAATTGAATAGAAGCATGTTTAATTAATCTTGATAGTTATATAGGTATATAGAGAATAATAATTATGCTTTATATCTTTTTAATCTCAAAAATAATTGAGCCGTTATTAGTATTTTAATATTAATTTTTGTAAAACATCATTCAACTAACTGGAGTTCTGGCATAGTCTGCTGTGTATCTTGCAGGCTACTTCTCTTAATGAAAGGAGGGAATTAATACTTAAATGTTCTGATTACAGATATCTACTAAGTAAAGATGGCTTTTTTGTGATCATTTAGAAATATTATCCTTACATCTTCAGCAATTTCTTTCAACACATTTAGAAATTATGCAGTTTAGTTCCTACAGAAGAAAACAAAAACGTTCTTTTTCGTTTAAATGTTTAATTAAATTAGGTCAGTTACTACAACTGCTGTTTGTATAATAACGTTTCTCAGCATGCACCACATACCCTTGACATATTCTCCAAAATTCTCAAGAAGAAACATATGTGAGAATAGTAGAAAGTTGCCTGCTAGCATTATTTTTATTATTCAAGATAGAGCCAAAAGCAGGGCTAATACCTGTAATCCTAGCACTTGGAAGTATGAAGCAGGAAGATTGCTGCCAGTTTTTAGGCCAGCCTGAGATACATTTGAGACCCCCATCTCAAAAGAAAAATAAAAGACATCTTAAACATTATCTAGGGACTGGAGAGATGACTCAGCAGTTATGAGCAGAGGACCCAGATTCTGTTTCCAGTACCCACCTGGTGTTTTAATACCCACCATACCTCCATTTCCAGGAATCCTATACTCTCTCCTGGCCTGTGGGTACCAGGCATGCACATGATACACACAGATACTTAAAAGTCCACTCTCGTATACATAGAAGTACATCCTCAGATCATTAAGAGCAATTTATACTCCAGTGTTTATTGAAATAAAACTAAAAACATATACAGGTAGACAGCAGGTTCATGATTGGTAGAAGTACTAAATAAGCTATTTCTTATGTTTTGTTTTTTTTTTTTTTCAGATAAACTTCAAAGTGCCATTTTCATGAGCATTTACTAAAAGGCGAAAGGAACAAGGGTGCATTTAGTACACCCTCTCAGTAAACAAAGTTTCTATAGTGGAGAGAAAATTTTTTTCTATGGAAATGGTTATTTGGAGATTAGCTGAGATAATTTTAACTTTGTGTGCTTAAAATGAACAAATGAGTTAGCACTTATTAATAAAACAGTCTGTCAATATGGACTATTAAGTACTTTAAGAGAAGTCACGGATGAAGAAAACAAGCTTGAGTTTTGAGTTCTAGGAGAAAAGGGATAATTGTATAGGAAGAACATAAATGTGATCACTGTGCTTGTATTAATCTATGTTTACGTTACCTTATGTAATCCAGCTACCATTTGGGTAACTTGTAACCCCACAGCTGAGTCATTCTTCTTTCACATGATTTTCTCATATGTTTTGTATTTCCTAAGGACTTTTCACTGAAGTAGCTTTGAGTTGTTTCATTATTGCTTATTCTTGCAACAGTAAAAACTAGAATATTAAAAGACTTCTGATAAAATGTTAAGACAGTATTCTATAATTTCCTGAAAGGTAAGTTGTGTGTGTGTGTGTGTGTGTGTGTGTGTGTGTGTGTGTGTGTGTGT